CGCTGCGCCTTCGACACCCATCTGTCTGAGGGCGTGTTATCTGGTGGCATGATGAGGTGGTATCGGCGCCAGAACATCTCTTTGATGTTGCTGAGCTGCGAGGCTGGCAAGAGATCCTCTTCGTCGAGAGACACCGCAGCAGCTGAACCCTTGTCTTCTCGGGCACTCTCTGCCTGACACACAGCCGCCCAAGCCTGGCGCAGTCGCGCTCGCTGCAAGCGCGCGTTGCTGAGGCTGCTCTCTACCGGTGTGAAGAAGGACGCCAGCAGCTCGCTATCATCCTGACAGTAAAAGCGGAATTCTGACAAAGTCGTGACGCCTGAGTCGACAATCTGCTTTGTGACGGCTGCTTCCAACTTGAAACGCTGGGCGAGATCGTCAAAGATCTGCTGCGGGGTGGCCATGCTCACAGAGAGGCTGGCAGGCTGGCAGACAAAGCAGCGGACAATGGCTATAGGCACGGCTTGAGCTGAACGCAGGCTACACAGACGCACGCACTCAACCTGCCACCGGTCACACAGCACAGCACGTGCTACCGACTCTACCACGTGCAACTCACGCTACGCATGCAACTCACACGCAATCTCCTGCCCATCCTCAGGCACTCTACGCTCACCACACGGCGTACAGATGTCCAAGAAAGGTTTGTGAAAGGGGAAAAGTGGGCTCTGACTCGAACCCGAAAATGCCGGTATACAGAGCCATACACAGATGCTCTTGACCTGCTCACCCCCAGGTCGTTCTGGCAACAAGACCGAGCTAGATGTTGTTGTCATTGTCGCTGATCACCTGGTGTAGGACACGGCAGAACATCTCTCCTACTCGCAGATCTGTGGCAAGAAGATGCTACTCCACACACTTGCATCACGACACAAGCTCAGATCACTGCACGATCCTACCAACTCCTACCTGTCCATCACAGCACACCTACCGACAGCTCTCACTCACTCCTAAGCAAGCTGCACACGCATACTCATGACATGAAGCCGCACAAGCCGCACGCTCGACGTAACAGCATTCTCTTTTTAACGAAACTCAACGGCATGCTCTGTGTTGAGGGAGCACTGCACCCCCGCGGGCAACATGGCTACACACGCTTTGCACCAAGGCCGCTCCAAGGCTACACCTTCAAGCAGGTCATCTATCCAGATAACACCTTCCCTGAAAGCGGCACGCTGCCCCTCTTGAGCTTGGCGCCAGCGACAAGCTGGCTGCGGCACTGCCCTGCTGGACTTTGCAGCCAACGCATGAATGGCAGAACGCTCGCGTCGACTCGCGATTAGTTGAAGCGGTAAGGCTATGGAAAGCGGCGGCGCCGCGCATGAATCTGCCTGGCGTCGGAGCCACTTGAACAGCTCTCCACACCTATCGCGAGCAATGACAGTCTCAGGTGTGATCGCACGTATCTGCCGCAGGTGGTCAAGCGCGGCATCAAAAGACACGCCTCGAACATGCGCAACTACGACAGCAGCCATACACGCCCCATATTGCGCGCCATTCAAGCAATGAATGTACACAGAAGCGCCGGCATCCAGTGTGTTGAACAAGCATTGTCGGACAGCACTCCAGCCCTCTTGTCTGAGGGCAGACTGCGCAAATGCAACGTTGAGATGGAGAGCTCCTGGATGCACGCAACCTGGCTGTTCCTCAGCCTTGTGGGAACAAGAGACGACAAGCTTAACGCAGTTATTCTGAAGCACACAAGCATCTGCCAGGCTAGGAACGCCACCTAACAACACCACTGGCAGGGAACGGTTAGGGTCCCACCTGGCGACCACAGTTGGCGGCTCAGGCTGAGCATTAGGCTTGGCTGGACGACTCCACCGCTGCTCGACTAACCGTTCAAACATTTCGTCCTGGGACTCAGGGACAGTCGGACACTGCTCCTTGCCTACGTCGCCGCAACACGCTCTGCTCTCCGCACAAGGCACGCTAACCTGACCTGAACTGCTATGGGGAGGGCAGGGGCCAGGCTGGGCTGAAGGGCGTCTGTCAAGGAGAAGTCGACGCTTAGGCACAGGCTTTCCCGCCAACCTGTCCTCAGGCACTGGACAAGGAGGACTATTCAAAGGCTCAACACGACCCCTACCTGCATCACCGGGATCGGCAGGCGCTGCTGCGATTCGCGGTCTCCTGCCAGGCTTCTGGCTCGTCGCCTTTGAAGTGGACAGCCCCCCAGAGCTTTCACGCATCCACATGGAGCTCGAGCAGCGGAGGCGGAATGCCTGCTCGCCTGTCATGCAGTGGGCTCCACGCCACTGGTACTCTAACTCAGGCGCTTCTGCCAACTCAGCAGCCACCACCTTGCGCGCACGCTTGAATGACGCACGAATGCTTTCGGCGTCTGCGCTGTCCCAGGAAGAGCAAGACTGATCGACAATGATTTCTTTCAAAACAAACCTGACCTGATGCTTGAGGAGGGTTGCCTGTTTGATTTTCGCGCGATGATACCGCCATGGCATCGCACTTTGGTTACGCGGCGCTTTTTCCAGCCAGTTACCTTAGGACCTAAGGCACATACCTCGGTAGCGTCCAGGCCTCCTAGCAAGGACAAAGTGACAGGAACCTGACGCCAGCACTTCGAGCTGACCCGGCGTGACTCCGCAGGCGGCAAGACTTCTGACATAGCGAGCCCTATCTGGCTGCGCACAGCCTGGGGCGCTAACTCCTCGCCCGAGATAACTCTGAACGCCACACACTTGACTGCCTCAGGCTTCTCAAGCTTCATGAGTGCCTCGAGGAACATGCCACCGAAGTCAACCCCAGTTATCGAGAACCTGGGGCAACTCCACAGGAACCCAGCCCGCAAGTGGCGCTGCTTGCCGCGCAAGCATTCGAAGAGCAGAGTGCGCTGATCTAGCTGGATGAGTCGGCTTCGCTGCAGGTGTACAAACCTGACGCAACCGGTGGTTTGGCACCAAGTGGCAAAGAAAGCCAACCAGTCGGGGTTCCTGTTCTTGTGCGCGGCTACAAGTCGTTGCTCTAACAAAAGCACCATGGGTGGCTGCGCTACTGGCGCCTGTCTTGCACCGTGCCCAACGCCTGCTGACCCCGCAGTCCGAAACGAATGAGCTAGATCAAGCTCCGGCGCAAAACGCAGGTGTTTTCGCATGAAGGACAGCGAAGGCAGCACACGGCTCTTCGCCCGACTGTCCAACACAAACTGCGCCATCTGCACAGCGGACAACTCCGCTACACACGCACCCTGACGCTGCGCCCACTCGCACAGCTCAGACCACGTACGCACTACTTTGCGAAGTGTGGGCTCTTCTGCTGACACTAGGATGGGATTCACTATAGCATCCAACAACCTCCTGCAGGTGGCCTCCTCACCTAGCAACTGGCTAGCGAACCTGCTAGCCTTTTGGAGAATGTCCACGAGGCACGCGCGATGCCCAGCATTCGCCTCTGCACACGGCAAAGCAGACGCTAAGGGACGCACTACCCCTGCACAAGGAACACGAATGAGGGTGGGAGGCTTCAGTTGGCTGCCGCCACTTGCAGACGACTTGCTGCTAGCCTCGCGAGCTCCGGAACACGGAGCGGGCTTCTGCCTGTATAAATCTCGCACCATCGGCGCAAGCCCGCGCCGGCACTCTGCGTGAGCAGCTTCCCAAGCTTCGGCCACAGCAGGTCCCGCCTCAACCTCGGCCTCCTGCCGACTAGCAAAGTAGAAGGCGAACTCTCCCCGACTTTCTATGCCGGCGTCCCGCATAAAGGATTCCATGCAGCAGAAAAGAACGAAGAGTTCAATCACAAACTCATGAAAGACACGCCCAGCTACTCGGGGCACACCTCACACACTGAGGTCGACAAACCAGAACTCCATTTTGGCCTTGAGCCACAACACGCAACGCATGGCTACATTAGGCGTTGAGTTCTGACTGAGGTGGAGCGCAAGAACGAACACCGTTCACCTAGCCTGCCCGAAGCACAAAACAGTAGCAACTATTTTACTAATTTACGCGAACTCGGGAGTTTGCATCTCGAAAACCCACCTGCGCCGGTCCGACCCAGATTTTACTATTTTACTATTTTACTATTTTACGGGAAGTCGGGAGTTTGCATCTCGAAAACCCACCTGTGCCGGTTGGACCCAGAATTTACCGCTTTACTGATTTCGCGCGAAATCCAGAGAAAATTCCTCCCTCTCTTTTTACTTTTAATAGAATTTCCTCCACGGGCTCAGCAGTTCGCATCTCGAAAACCCACCTGCGCCAGTCCGACCCAGATTTTACTATTTTACTATTTTACTAATTTTACGGGAAATCGGGAGTTTGCATCTCGAAAGCAAGTTTGCATCTCGAAAACCTACCTTTGCATGTCGGACCCCAAGAAAGTTTGCATCTCGAAAACCCAACCTTGCATGTCGGACCCCCAATTTGCATGTCGGACAGAGGGATCCCGTTTAGGTCAGGGGTTTTGAGGAGTAGGGCTTGCTTGTGGTGGGGCATTGGACCTAGCCCAAGTACTACATCCCGCTTTCGAAGCGTGCCAGGTGGTCGGGTTAACTTGGAAGCACCCGGTTCCGGACACGTCCGACCTTCTTTCGTGCATAAAAGAAGGCATCCATCTTCAACCCTCACTGCAAAGACCCAAGCAATACCACTCTGTCCACAATTGCTCAGCCCCAAACCGTATTTAGCGAAAACCTCAAGGCCCGGTTTAGGGATTGGCAGCGCCACCGCCACCAGTAAGAAAGAAAGAATCGTCGAACCGACAAGCACAGCACAACACACAACGAGCCACAGGACAGCAACGCGACACAAACAAAAGATAAACGACATACACGCACGTGCACAGGCACGTGCACACGAACGCACAACTGCAGCAGTCTAACAAAAAGCAACAACGACAACACCTTCCTTTTTCTGTGGCAACCTTCATAACAAATTCAGACACGATAGCATCTTGGCGATTATACTATAGTCGGTTGTATACCCGACGATAGTAAACTTCACTATTGAACCAACAGCATGGCAAGAACCTATCCAAGCGGCCAGCACGTCCGCAACCGGAATCACGCTGGTGTGGGTGACAGTGCCTGTTACTCATGGCTTGACCGCAGTTGTGTGAACCGTCTGCGTGGGTGAAGGAATCAATCATGACGATGCTGACAGAAACCAGTTGCTCCAGAACCTGTCAAATATGGAACATCTACAGCAACCGAATGAATGTGATGCTGCTAAATGTGAGGGACCCGGCAACCCCCTCGACGGCATGAACCTCCGAATACAACACCCTACGCAGCTGAATGCCCTGGCCCTATCATCTACAAGCTAGAGTAGATAGACTCTTGCATGCTGTGGTAGTGCGTAGTTTGCTGTCAGCTGCCACATACAAGATACTACAGTGTGTTTTTGAGTGCTATAAGATACGGGACTGTACAATAGTGCCCTGCAACTCTGCCATTTCTAGTACTACAATGGCACTCGTCTGCCGAAAGAAGCCTGGACCCTGCGACCTAGACACCAGGCTGAAAGGACTCATTACTAAACTGGCCTGTGGCCCTTCAGGTCGCATCTGTACAGTAATACGATCATAACACTGTCATTAACAAATACTACAAACCATAGGATAAGAATACTGTGCAAATACTATAATTGATACTAGAAAACTTGAATAGCAGCCCCGTATGGCTGCCGGCTATTGCCAGCTGAGAGACTTGGGCCATTGGCCTGGGCGGGCTACGTGCACGTCAAGGGGGCCCTCAGTCACAGGCTTTAGAGGTTTAGGGTTTAGGGTTCAGGGTCCTGCTACAGTGGCTCTTCAAGAAGCTTGCAAAACTGCTCGCTTCTCCTTGGAGTACCCTACGTTCGACAGGCATGTCACCGCACGCCCCTAAAGAAGCCGCTTCGCAGAGTTCGACTATGCTAAAGTATCCTCTACTAAATATTCGTAGTGTTCTACTCGAGTATAGATTGTACTATAAATGTTTACTACACACAAGAACAGTTAATACGCTTGCAACTCTATATTATATTTGTATAGTATACCGTACATGTCCTCTGAACTATGCTAGGCTTTGATACTACGGTAAACCATAATACTATACTAAACAACAAACCCCATATTTAAGTCGGAAGCGTTCAACAGAATACAACATCACATGGTTTAGGGTTTACGGTTTAGAGTTTCGGGATTCGGGAATGGAGTATTTTACGCTAACGCTGCAAAAAAGAATGCACCATGGCACTGCTTGATCTCGACCATCATCACAAGCCGGAAACCAACACTCTTGAACCCTACCCCCGGGCCCTAAACCCCTAAACCCCTAAGCCCCCAAACCGATCCTCAACCCCCCCCCCCCTAACCGATCGCGAAAGCCCTCCCGGGCCGAAAGCTCATGGGCGAACGCCAGGTTGCATAGGCAGCAAGAGCACAAGGGCTGCCTGCAAGAATGAAGCCAAGACTTGAAGAATTCGAGTTTCGGGCTCAGGGTTTAGGGTTCAGGGATTTGGGCTTAACCCCTGAAACCTAAGGGCGCAGGGGCTCGGGGGCCAGGATCTCAAGTCTGGGCACCCATGTTCGCTGGGCCGACCAGGACGGCGTCGGACACGTTGGCCTGTGGAGGCTGCGGGTTTGCCGCCGGTGCTTCGGAAGTTGCCCGTGCGAAAAGCCCTGAACCCCTCAACCCGAACAAGAATCCACCCCACCTCCCCCTAAACCCTAAACTGAACCCTAAACCCTAAACCCTAAACCCCAAACTGAATGTGCTCTACCAAGGCCTTTCTTCTTTCCGGGCCTTCGGAGTCAAGCTTGAGGATGTAGGCTTTAGGGCTCCTAGCCTGAACTTTCGATTGCCCTCAGGTCTCTTGCACCGGGCTTTCGATTAAAAACCCCAAAAATGTTTCGGGCTTAGGGCTTAGTGCTTAAGTTTAGGGTTTAGGGTGTAGGGGTAAGTCTTCACTGAAGGCGCCGGCCTCCGTCCACATCGGGCCAAAATAGCTCAGCATGTAGTTCACGACCTGTGCGGACTCAGTGGCCGGCCCTGGGCATTTCGAGCCTAAACACCCCTTATCGGCCCGGAAACCCGAGACCCTAAACACATGCCCTAAACGAAGCCCAAACAGCACAAAACCATCCAAACCCCCGCAGCCCTAAACCCGCCCTCAACTCCCTTGTCGCCTATCGCCTAGCAGGTCCGCAGCCACGCAGGATTCGCTGGGCGTTGGAGCTTGAGGTTTTTTTGTAGGAAACCCAGAAGTTTGCAAAATTCAAGACCTCAACCCTAAACCCTTAAGGTTTGAGGTTTGGGTTCTAGGGTGATCTAGGGTTTCGGGTGTGCCGTTTCAGGTTTCGAGCCTTAGGAACCTTATGTCACCTTCAACCCTGAACCCCAAACCCCGAACCCTTCCAAGGGGGCATGGCGCCTGTGCACCCAACGAGTGGCCTACGATGACGACGGGCTGCCCTGCAGATTCGCACAAGCGGAGCGGAGGAGCGGAGGCCCGCCGGGGGGAGGCTGGGCTGTTGAAGGTTCAGGGGTTGAGGCTCAAGGATCTCAAGGCTAAGGCTTTCGAGATTTCGGATGTTTTTTTCCTCCTGCACATCTGGGGCCCGCATCGCAGGGATCACTTCGAGATTTCGGATTTAGGGTTTGGCGTTAAGCCCAAGCTGCATGATGATCATTCAGCATCATCTGCATAGCTTGCGGCCCCCTTGAACCACTAAACCCCGGAGAGGACCATGCTTGCGGGAGATCCGCACCCTGAAGCGCTAAGCTGGATTGTGATAAGGTTCCCAGACTCATAGCATATGCCACGAAACCCTAAACCCTAAGACCCAAACCGCGAATGGCCTTTGGCGACCTTCACTGCATGCTCGATCGTTTGCTTGAACCTCGTCTCACACTCCTGGACGTAGCGCACGTCTCCCCACCTGAGTGCAAACCCCCAGCCCCAGATCCTAACCCCTATGAACCCCAAACCCTGGCCCAAAACCCTAATCCCCAAATCTCAAACCCTGAGGAGGCGCCCTGGGGTTCTAACCCAGAGGGTTTGGGGTTGAGGGTTTATACGGTTTTGGGGTTTGGGGTTTAAGGTTCAGGGTGTGCCGTGGGGCTTCTCTGGTTCAGGGCGGGCGTTACTTGAAGTGCGCACAACCGCGAGGCCCTTTGGAGATGGTGTTAGTCGCGTTAGGCTCTTCGGGAAGGGGTGCGCGGACGCAACCGCGAGGCCCTTTGAAGAGGGCCTTTTAGTCTTCGGGAGGGGGGGTCGTCGAATTTGCGTGGACGAATCCGCAAGGCTCTTTGAAGAGGCGCTTTAGTCGCGTTAGGCACTTCGGGTGGGGGGGGGGGGGCTCACCGAAAGCACGCGGACGCCAATGCGAGGCCTTTTGGAGGGACCGTGTTAGGCTCGGAATCATTGGGTCCTGGAATGGGGCGGCTACAACAAGACCTACACCCTGAAGCCTAAACGTCCCAAAACCCTGAACATCCCTGAGCCCTAAACCCTAAACACAAACCCTAAACCCTACGTGTCCTACGCCTAGGCTGTGCACAGCCAAGGCACCGCCGCCAGTCCTTGGGGACTTCAGGTTGCAAGGCCCTATCCTGCTTGACGATCTTGGGGTTCAGGGTCAGGGCATAATCTTGAGTATCCAGAATGCTATAGTATACTATATTGGACCAAAAAGTCGCAGGGGTGTAGGGGTTAGGGGCTGAGGCTTCAGGGTCGAGATCTTCCTCCTTCAGTCCTGAGGGCCCAAAGTTGCCAAAGCCCTCCTGCAGCCCTTCAAACCGACCCTAAACCCTAAACCCTAAACCCGAAACCCGCCCACAAAGGAAGGCTCTTGAGCTGAAGCTGTCCCTAAAGCCCAAAAGTTGGGCCTAAAGCCCGTCACCTGAAACCGCTTTCGCCTCGACGCCGTTCTTGGGCAACAGGGCTTGCTCTTCGAAGCTTTGAGGGGGCTCAAGAACTGTTCTGTGCTTTTAAAAAACCTTATACAAAAAACCCTGTTTTTGATGAGCAACCACTCGGAATCCTTCGCCGCCGCCCCGCTCAAGGACTGTTTAAGGTTTATACCGGAACCCTAAACCCTAAGACCGTCAAATTTTTCGTTTACGATGTAATCAACTAAGCTTCCCTTGAGTAGCCCCAGACCCTCAAGCCCCAAGACCCACGTCAAATGTGCTCAATTGCTCACTACTACTGAAGTGCACAAATACTGCTACAGTATATTCTTCCAGAGTATAGCATGACATTCTACGGTCTACCGCTGTATGATACTGGAAACATTGGGTACATACCTAAACCCGAAACTCTTGTAAACTATCCGAAGCCCTCATCCACGCTGTCATGAGCCACCTCAAAAAACGCGAGGAATGAGAAACATTTAATGCAGCTCGGGTGCATAGTTGTAAGCCTGAGATAAAGGGTTTGAGGTTCAGGGTTCAAGGTTGAAGGTTTAAGGGCTAGGGGGTTGAGGGGTTTAAGGTTTAGGGTTTCAGTTTAACGCTAAGGATTCGCGGCTTGAGGGATGCGAGTCCTGAACTGTAGGATGTAGATGCCGTTCGCCGCAAACCCGACTTTGCTCATGACTACTGCATAGTTTTGGATCTCGTAGTGCATAGTTTCCAGGGAGCAGCAGACGCAGTCTGCGCATTGTAGCGAAGTCGAGTGCTTGCAGGGGCATGATCAGGGAGATCACGGCACAGTGGCCGGAAAGAGCCCCCAAGTGCGTAAGGCCGTAAGGCTCGTGCAGGCAGGTCAGCGACAGGACGGTCACGGCTGACACAGGCCGCCGAGGGGGGAAGGACGATCAAATCACGCGGCCCTGGTGGGAGCTCACAAGTGCTCTAATGCAACGACGTAGCGCGATTTTATGTTTGCTTGTGCCCAAGGTGCCTGCGGTCAGGGGATCCATGTAATCTTAGCATGCTCTGCAGGTGCCTACACTGACCTACATCTACAAACATATGATTATTAATAGAAAACATGCTGACAATTCGCCTCGGCTTCGGGACGAAAAGCGTCTGGAATAAGCAGACCAGGATCAACCCCGCTTGGTGACGCCCCCCCGGAGGAGCTGCAAACCGATTCCATGAGAGGTCCCGCCTGTGCGCGGCTCCTACAGAGTGGGAGCCAAAAACATGTGTTGACCCTTCGTCCCTGACACCCCTCCCCCCCCCCGGGATTTTGCTGAGGCCCCTTTGGACTGCGACCCCCTAAACCCTAAACCCTACGCTATTTTGCGCCCCAAATACCCTAGACCCGTAGACCCGAGCAGGCAAGGCACCAGGCAGTTGTAGTCAGGCGACCTCGGTATGAGCGTTCTGGTCTCAAAGAAGTCTAGTATGTTTTTTTTTGGCGCTCCCGCATAGCTGGCCGAACCGCAGGCAGGGTTGATGGTACTGTTCTGGGAAGGAAAGGGAGAATCTGGCCCAGCAACCCTCTCTTGAGAAGTATGGTTTAGGGTTTAGGGTGTAGGGCTTAGGGTTTGGGAGGTGTGCACTGAAACTCTGTTATTCTCTGTTAGCGAAGGGGGGAATTGCGGGACCCATCCCAACTGTAGGAAAAGTCTCCGGTCTTATGAATCCAGATTAGCGCACGTCGGCATGACTGACTACACAAAGCCGCCAGAAACTGCAGAGCCCGAAACGTATGCGACTGGGCTGAGGTCGCCGCAGGTGCTCGATGATGTTGTGCCAAAGAAGAATAGGGGTGATGTCCTGAGCTCCCAGAAAGTTCGCTCAGGTTCTGGGAGTCTCTCAACAGTAGGCCGCACCCCCCAAACAACAGCATGTCACAGGAAGGACGACGCAAACAAGGACCCAAAACGTTGGGACATCCGAAACCCTCAACACCCTCTCTCATTAAACCCTTACCCTGAACCCGGAACCCTACACACCAACCATTCACCAATCGACCATCCAAAAGCCTTCGGTTCGCCGGGCGGCTGACTCCACGCCTGGGTTGAGTGTCCGAATGCCACTCAGGCCCTCCACCGGCTGAACCTGCTCTGCTTTTCTTCTTCGGGAAGGACTCGGGGCCTAGGATTTCGGAAGTGGCTACTTGGCTACTTACCTGCCTGCCTTCATGTTGCCGGGGTCCCAAAGACTTTTTCTCCTAAAGCCCTGATTGTCTGATCCCTGCTGCAGGGCGGCGGGGGAGGAGGAGGGGAGGTTGCAGGTGAAGGGGTGAATCCTGGGATCCCACCAGCACAGGCAGTTAGGCGAAGACAATCGGTCAAAGAGACACCCTCTCGATGCATGATACATGGGCATGGTAAATGCAACTTACTGCAACTACACCCTCAACAGTACACCCTAAGCTGTACGCCACAGGTATCAACTTGAAGCTACTGTGAGGTTGAGATTCCAGGCACCAACACCAAGGAACCAGGCAGACAGGCCTGCTCTTAGAATGCAGGGCCCACTTGGCCCACTGCAGGATAACCTAGATACTCCCCGAAATTCTAGAAGTCCGCGAGGGGCTTGCAGTCTGCACTGTGTCGTTCCGAGCGGCGTTCATGCCAGAATAGCCGCACTTCGACGAGACGCACTTCGTCTCAGTGGGGGTTTTGGGCGTCTAGTGTAGGTTTTCAGGCGGTAACGACCGTGCAGTTTCGGGGTTCGGTTGGGGCGTTAGGGGGAAGCAAGGGTTCAGGTCCAGGCTTTCGGGTTTCACATTTGCATGATTTTGTTGATCAAGGAAGGCAGAAGTTTCCTTTAGCCGGCCATAGTACTACCCGGAATAAATCTTTTTCAGTCTGATTCTTGTCGATCTATGGAGACATCAAGTAGTCTCTGGCGTATGCAGAGGTGTCTACAACGGGATTGATGCCTCAAGCCCCCCTAGAACGACAATTCCCTTTGCATCTGAGGCACACCCTGGACGGAATCATTCTCGAGAGAAAGTGCCAGCGTTTTCACCTGGGCTTCTAAATCCTTTACCGACAGGTCCTGAAACCTGAAACCGGATAAGGGTTTTGGGCCGGGGGGGGGGGGGGGGGGTGGCTGGGACGATGCTAAGTCAAGGATTTGAAGAGAACTTACCATGGCCTCGGCTGTGGATCATGAAACTGCAATCTCCAAGGTCCTTTTTTTTTTTTTTTTTTTGGGGGGGGGGGGGGGGGGGGGGGATGGGATGGGTGGGGGGGATGGGGGGGATGGGATGGGATGGGATGTGGGGGATGGGGGGGATGGGATGGGGGGGATGGGGGGGATGGAGGAGGAGGAGGATGGGGGGGAGGGGATGGGGGGGGGGGGGGTTTGCCTTCGGCGTACTGGAAACACAAAGAGCCAAGAAGAGATGTGTGTTGTCGCTGGAGTCTTTTTTGTTGCTGTTGACATCGTGAACATTAACGTCAGCATCGTCACCGGTGGTCATCAAGTTCGTCGTCCACATTGCCGCCGTTATCCTCATCCCCTTGTTTTTTGTTGTATTTATATGTATTTATTCTGTGTGCCATACTCATGCATCAGCGTTCTCTACTAAACAGCACTATGCACTGCACTTATGGTGTCAAGGATCGTACCTCGTTGATTGTCTTGTTGGGTGTTTATGCCAACGCCAGCCCCCCCCCTTCTGGTTGCATTTCTTCGCGCCGTTGGCACAAGGGCTCCAATGCAGGTCTCATTCTCGAAATTAAGGATCTGTTTTGGAATCCTTGGCATCGGAAACTATAGAATTTAGGGCGCTTTATGAGGGCCCCCGTTTTTGAGAAGTGCCCTCTGCAAACCTAGGCGTGCATCATGGCATCTTCCTCTCAAGGCAAGACCTCAAGACTGTGATAAGTTACGGCATGAACGCTAGCACTTCGCAACAGTGATGAACTAGCTCCGATGCTCAGTAGGGGCCACAAATTCTGAGAAAAACAACCTTGGAAGTGGAGGTAAATGGACAGCTCACTTAACCCCCTCCCTAAAACCCTAAACTCCAAAACACAACACCTCTCAGGCGCCGACGACTTGAGGCCGCTTCACAATCTCCTGGATGCTTACATAGACGAGCCGCTTGTGCTCCTCTTGTGCGGACAGGGATGAGGGGTTTAGGGGTTTAGGGGTTTTCGGGGTTTCCGGGTTTAGGGATTTAGGGGTAGGGGTTTACGGTGTAGGGTTTGGGGTTCAAGCTATACTTTTGTGGTTCCTGGGCCCGCAGAACCCACTACTCTTACTTCCTCGGCACGGCAGCAAGCAGTAGCAGTAGCAGGCTGTATAATCGCATACTAATTTAATACGATTATTTTGGTATACCATGATAGTATATCATTATGGTATGCCATTACAGTACACTTTTTTTGGTGTGGCTTCCTTGCAGCCCATGCCATCAGGAGCTCCAGTCAAAGCATTCCGTGCGAGCTCAGTTCCGAAACACAGACCAACTCCGAAGAATGGGAATAGTATATATAGGATAATTTATACTATAGTATAGTATACTGTACAAGAGTATACGATTCCTTCGCAACTACACCCTGGCAGCCAGCATTCCTGGTGCAGGCATTCCATCAGCAACTACAATGGGGTTATGGGTTTGGGGTGTAGGGACAAGGGGTCCAAGCTTCTAGCCCAGTTGGACTTCTGACTCTCCTTCGGTCGACTGCCCTAAGACCTGTGAACCTTATTTACGGTTGACGGTTTTAGCCCCAAACCCGGAAACCCCAAACCCTACCTCCTCTGCGTCGCAGTGGTCGCACCAAAAATGCTCGTGACCTCTCAGGCTGCTGGCGTCAGGGGGGTCTCTCCAAAGCGAAAGGCAGGTCCAAGTCGGACTACCTAGCAGTCCGTAGAGCGTGTTGCTGTGGAAAAGCAATTCATATAATTTAATGGCGGACATGATGGAGGAGGACTGGTAAAGAGTGCCTCTGGACAGCTTCTGCCATTGTACACTCCCAGTGGACTCTGGCTTGCCGCCGCGGCGCGTAAGCTGTCGATAGGGCATGCGACGATAGTCGAATGCGACTCTGTGTTCGAGGGATTCAGAGTGTCGGAGGATGTGACCTAAAAGTGCAATGCGGTTGGAGATCATGGATTGCGAGGGTGCGAGTGCATTTCTGACTCTGGCGAAAAGCTAGTTGCAACGGGTACTCGTTGGAGCAATCCTCGGAAGGCGATAATACACGACAGCAATCGCCGCTCTTGATATGGAGTATCTGTCGAAGTGCTTCGAAGTGCTATGTGTTTAGCCTGACTAGCTGATCAGGAGGATAAACTTGTGATTCTGAACCATATAGAAGAGTGGCAAGCGTAATCTGAGAGTGAACTGAAAGCTCACGTCTATGCGAAGAAGAGGGGTGTCGATCGAATCAGTCTAAGGTTTTGAAAGCTTTCGAGGCTCCAAATCTGTCGGAGACGTCGTTGTAAGGGGAAGAATGATGGGCGAGTAAGTCTCCGAGATATTTTGCGACATCAGAGGCTGGAACAGTGAATGGTTCCCTGTCCGAACAACAATAATGCTATGGCAAACTGCAATATGCAATACGATACTGCAGTAAGCTGAGGTATACCGTGGTATATGTCCTGTACACAATAGCGATGCTTCATAAAGATGGGTTTATGGACTTCAAGGCTGGGGGTAGTTGGGGTGCGCAGCAGAAGTGGCTTGGCTCGAGGACTACTCCTCCTCCTTCTATCTGGACTGCCGGTTCTGCTGGTAATCGCCATTTCCATGATTCTGAAAGCATGGTTCTACGAGTGCCACATCCTGATAGAACATACATGCCACCTTACGTTAGAGATGCAGCGCCCCAAAACAACACCTAACTCCATGTTGTCATAGACCATCACAAAGCTCAAAAACACTGAACCCTCAACCCTACCCAAACCCGGGGGCCTTTCTCCGTGATGGCCTCAAGGGCGCATGAAGCCAGGCCATGAACAAGCACAACCACCCTCCTCAGCGCGGTAGAGGTTGGGGTGCACGGGTTAGTCACGTAGCACACCATCAGTATGCCGCGATGATGCGCAATGGATTTCCCAAAAGAGCGCCAACAAAAATCGACACTACGAAGGGATACTAAAAAACTGGATCTCCTGCCGTCTAGATCCTCCGCAGACCTCCAGAAAACCATACAGCCGAACAATACAAAGAAAAGCAAATAGCACTAGCCTAGTTATTCTACCCTACGATGTAAAAATGCAAAAGACAAGATGCGATCCGGTATACAGTAGCACAACATACTCCAGCATTGCACCCCTTCAACCACGAAGCCGAATTCTGGCATAGTAAATACAACAATGTAGGTTTGTTTGGACTCGAAGTTCGAAGGCCTCCATGCACCAACACTCAAAACAGCAGTTGTCTTAGGGCCTATAGAAGAGTATACGAGCCTGCATAATAGACTGTTCGATACAAATAAGTAGCCTGCCACTACTTACAGACACGTACCCCCTCCTTGCAGGACTGTAGAGGGTCGAGGAGCCAAGGTCGCAATTTGTAGGGTTTCAGGACTTAGAGGTTTTTGGGCTTAGAGTTTGGGGTGTAGACTTGGAGTGTATGGCCCGTCTTTCTCCAACTGAGTCCGGAGTCTTGCCCTTCTCCAGGTCCTGAGCGAAACTGGGAGTCCGGGTGAGAGTTCAGAGCCTGTCTACTGTAGGCTGTAGGAGTCAATGCAGGCCAGAAGCCTAGCGAAGACTGTTGATTGTGCACGCTCACTTCCGGCGGCCGGACTACCAGACGCGCAGCAAATAGAGCTGAATTCTCCTCTAGCAGGCCATACTCTCACATACCAGGCCTCCATACGACGCCACGCCGTGCATACTGCAGCAGAAAAAACTCTAGCTGTTGTTCAGCGGGCCTCAGGGTCAAATGTTTAAGGTTCAGATTTGGGGTGCAAAGTTAGGGCTGAAGTTCCACGGTTTAGTGGGTTCTGGGTTGTGTCCTGCCCGTGCCGTTTGCCCCCTTGTTTGCTGGCAGAGTGTAGCTTGCTCTTGCTGGCTAGGGGGGGGTGGGGGCTCATGGAGACTCAGGTGTTGCAAGTGTGCTTGAATGTGGGGCCCACAGGTGTGTTGCATAAGCCAGCTTTCGGGCAGGAGTACTCCTGAAGTTATTCTAGGCCGAGCTCCCACCCACACACACACACAGAGCCTTGGCGCAAAAAAACAACCTAAACCGCAAAACCCTAACCTAAACCCTGAACCCAAAACCCTAGGCTCTAACAAAAACAGAAGCCCTTAAGTCCAAGAGGAGCGAAGTCTCCCCCTAAAGAGTAAGTCCTGAAATCCTGGTTGAGGGCTTTAGGGATTCATCAGGGCTCAGAAGGATTAAGGGTTTAGGGGCTTAAGGGCAAAGAAGGGGTTAAGGGTTTGGGGTTCTCAAGGGTATTAGGGATTAGGTTTAGGGTTGAATGGGTTTATGGGTTCAGGGGTTTAAGGCTTTAGGCTTCTAAACTCCACGAACAGCAGGGTCTCGTGGTGATCCACAGACGAAGAGCTGGCTCCCATGCCGCAGCTTGCTTCGAGCCTGATCTAGGCCTGCCATTTGGAAGGAGCTCCGGGGCTTTCGGTTGAGGGTTTAGGGTTCAGGGGTTAGGGGCTGGAGGTGTTTAAGTTTCCGGGCTCTCTGAAAATTTGCTGACGCCCCACTGAATCCCGATGGTGCCCTCGAGTTTCAGGGCTCAGGGTGCATCCCCTACAGCTTTGGCCCTAGGTGTTTGACCTCGCTGATGGGACTTCAGAGTTTTCCAGAATAGGGCGATCCCCGAAAGGCAACCTTTGTTTGTCTTGAGTCCTGAAAGCGAATCGGAGCCTTTGTTTGCGGGTTTCGCTTCTAGGGATCTGTACTATGTCGGGGATACTACAGAGGACGCTAACTTTGAGAAAATTCGCTCCATTTTCACAACTGTAATCACACCATGCTTCTCAAGACCGTGGGCCCTCAGAAACCACCCAAACCACAAAACGCACACTACATGCCAGGGTCCGGTAAGGAAGCGAGTCCGCAGAGAAATCCGCGCTTACAACCAGAGCTTCAGCTACGCCGCAGCAGGAACCACCCTCAACATCAAGCGTCTCAGCCCAAAAGAGCCGAAACAACCACCAAAACGAGCCTTTCTAGGGTAAGTTTCAGGCTAACTTCTAAAATGCCTAATTAGACTTTAGACCGGGGTTTGAGCATCGCCCAAGAAACAACTTCTGACCCCCCAAAACTCTTTAAACTCCAATCGCGCCCGCCCTTTTGTTTAGGAAAACTCTTGCCATGAAACCACACCACTGTACACATAGATATAGCACAGATCAATACAAGTGGGTGTGTATTTATGTGTATGTTTATGTATGTATGTATGTATGTACGTATGTATGTGAGAGGTTGCATGGAGACATGCATACATACATATATATATATATGTGTGTGTGTGTATGATATGTATTATGTAGTATGCAAAGGGCTGAAGGCCTCGGCAGTAGCCGTGAAAAGTCGATCTTGAGCCCAAAGTGAGCTGCGAACCCTGGTGATCATAATCATATGCCCGGCACACCAGTCACTTTGCGACTACCGCAAAATGTCGCTCGCCCTGCGACAATAAAACTTTTTCTCACCTGTGACTTCAGAATTTGCTTTGCCTGGGCCCCCTGCGTGTCTGCTACCTCACCGGCGACTAGAAGCAAACGTCCAAAAACCACACTCACCTGCGACGCTTGCCTGGCCTTAAGCCGGCGTGTTTAGGTCGGGTTTAGGCTTTTTTGCTTTGCCAGCGAAGGCACGTGCACCCTGTTGAGGGTTGAACAGAGTGTTTGGGGTTCGGGGTTTAATCTTTGAAGGCTTTGGTTCAGAGTTTTAGGGTGTTTGGAGCTTGCTTTGCCACCTGTCTAGCCAAGCTCCACGGGGCAACTGCCTCAGCAAAAGCACCAGCTAGTCACGACGTGTACGGTTTCAATCTAGGGTTTTGACGGCTACAGGGGCCGCTCTAGACAAAGCACTGCGAGACGACTTTTCCCAAGCATGCCCTGTCTTCACGCCTATTGCCACAATCACGCTTGAGTTTCGTGTGACTGCAGGTGTCGTACCGCGGAGAGGGTTGCAGTGAACCCTTCGAACACCTCAAGACTGTGAGAACATTGCAGGTGGCGGTGGACACATCAATTAGTGACAACCGCGAGGCAGGCGATTGATGCCTGCAACGCCGACATATGAAACTTAGCAGGATGTCGAGGCTTTCACACTAACACTTTGCACGCAAAGCTGGGCCGGCTCAGTCTTCTGACCTGGGCTCGGCAGTCCCTTTGAGTGGCTTTACTGTGGCTCTTGAGGGCCCCGCCTATCAGGGTCCCCACGCAAAGAGCCATCAAAACGGAATCCTGTACTGCCCCAACCCTATCTACCCCCGACCCTGAATAAGTATAAGGCCCAAATAGTCTTGTTAGGTACAATCAAGAAAGTCAGGGTAGAGGGGCAGTATAGGATCCTGTGATAAAGGGCTCCGAGCCCGAGAAGCTGTGTCCCCGGCGGTTTCTTCCGTTCCTGGCTCCTGCTCTTCTCCCGTGCGCGGCTGCGGCTGCGCTTGCCCCGGCTCCTATTTCCAGGGCTGAGGGAGTTTAAACTTAGGGCTCGGCTTAGGCCACATGGTCCACTTGGGGCACCCGTCATGACACAAGCGTAGCTTCGGGTGGAGCCCAACGCCTTGAGAGATTCACCTTGACGTATACCCAAGCCTCCAGCCCTGAACCCGCACCATACCAGTAATACCACTCCTAAACCCTAAACCCCAAACCCTGAACCCCGAACCCTGAACCCCCAGCTCCGGCTGCGCCGGCGGCGGCTCCGGCTGCGATGCCGGTCTCGGCTGCGGCTGCGGTGCCGGTCCCGGCGGTCCTGGTTGTCCTGCGCTTCTCGTTGCTTCTGTGGGGCTTTCTTTTCGCCACCCCGCCTCGCAGACCCCCTGGGATCACCAGAACGTGCTTTGACCGTTGAGACCGGCACATGACCTGCGATAAGTTCTAGACACAGCAAACTGCCGTTACGGCGCGTGCCCTGACATAACGTTATGAGCAGGAAGGGCAAGCGGCACGGTTCACTGGCAAGGGGCCTCCCCAACAACTCATGTCAAAAGAACCACGCAGCCCCGCAAACCCCAAGAGCTCCCTGAACCATAAGCCAAAAAGCTGAACCTCCACAATGCCTCAACCCAAGCCTGCTGTCAAATGAGGTCTCTGTCCTTGTCCTTTCCCTTGTCTTTGCCTTTGCCTGGGTCTGCCAGCGGCTTGCAACGAGAAGTTGGGTGAGGGAGGTGGCTAGTTCGAGGAATCAAACAGGTGCCCTGTGCCCTGGATTGAGCTGGGGCGGTGTCTAACATGAAAGGGGCTGTCCCGAACTCGGACAAGAATAGAACAAAACAACCAAACGCACAAAAATGCAGCTGAGCAGCCCTCGCCCTTTTCACCGCCCTTTTGTGGCCGATCGGGCGGATCTGCCAACTGCTCGTTGTCAATCAGAGGTCTGGCGATTTTGCCTTGCCCACGTTGCCCTACATCCACACCACCCATCTAAGCATGGAAAGGGGACATCGTATCCGGATGACCTCAGCCTGAATCCTGGAAACGAGCTTTGTTTTGCAACCCCAAGCCATCTATCCCAGGAGCTGCAAAACTCATGGTTGACACGTGATACCGTTGTTAGTCTTCCCAAGAGGTCCTCGCTACCCCAACCGTGCCTATAATCGCTGAATAGCAATAAGGACCATCATAATCATACTAATAACCAAGAGCAACAGTATCATATACTGTCATATACTATCAGTCTAAGCTTGGTACCGATGGATTGGTCGTGTGAGCATACCTTCGAAACCCCCCTGTGGCGTAAGCTCCAGCATACACATATACATACATATACACATATACATATACATAGACATATACATATACATAAATATGTACATAACTATATATGGTTCACAGGCAAGTGGCAAAGCATCGACGAGGGGTTCGCACAGTTATCCAGGTGCTTCTTTATCTTCACTAGGATCTCGTCCTTGTCCTCGGCGCGCTTCTCAATGATCTCGCGTAGCTTGGACTTCGCATCGTCGTCCAAGCGATACTTCTCCATCACCTTCTCTGCGTCTGACAAATCTGGCAGTTCGTCCACCTCGCCCTCCAACAGCTTCCCCACCTGCGCCCACACCAACATGGGAGCTGATCTGCATTTATAGGGGCTTGGGTTGTACTATGTTCCATGCAGTTGGGTACGAAGAAGTAACAAGCGACCTCAAATTAAGCTCATTTGGACATTTAGACCGTGGTCTTCAAGATTTACACTGAAAGAAGCAGCGCAAACACACAGTATTAGCGAGGATCTGGCAACAAGCAGGGTCGCCATGGCATTGGCGCGCTTGCAGTACTTTAGATGCTGCTCAATGGTGTTGAGATCTTTGTGCATGCGGTCAATCTCGTTGTCCTTCTTTCGCCGGTGAATGAGTTCCTCGGTTCACAAGCATAGTTCAGGTTGAGACGGCATGGTCTTATCATGTCTTGCAAGCCTTTGGTGACAATCCGTGCATGAGATGCCATTCCATGCCATGCCATGCCATGCCGGCAGCATGGTCTGTTGTTCATGGCAACTACGTTTCAGATGGAACCGCGAACTCTAAACAAGCAAACAGGGCCCAGAGCCATGGCTGCAATAAGCCACGTGCCATCGACACCCCCCACACACACACACACACAAACAAAAAAAAGGGAAAGGAATCGACAACACGCAGCAGTAACACAAACGATTCTCTAGACTCTGCACACTGCACACACGCCTAGAAGAAAATCCCCTTGCTGCCACAACAGCCTGGGCACAGTAAACCGGGAGGCCACCGGGTCGTCCAGCTTGAACTTGCGAGCCAGCCGCTCCACCTCCTTGTCCGGCTTCACCTTCCCGATGAAGCGGCCACTCTCCATCTCACCGATCTTTACCTGGGTTTCGGCTCTCGCACTCGCACAAGGCAGGCAAGTCTTTACCTGGGTTTAGGGTTTAGGGTTTCGGGTGGTGCTTTTGGTTCCCTTCGGGCCGAAACCGTAGTAGGCCCTCGGTGAAGGCCAGGGGAGCTAGCAACTTCGAGCTGTTGAGTCCTGATTTTGCGGGTGGTTCGTGGCTTTATCGTGGCTCTGCCAGAACTTTCAGCCCAAAGCAAACATGGCCAGCAAGTTGCCGTGAGTAAGCCTGTAGGACTTCTGGCTCTCTCAAGCGTCTCGTACAACTTCTCGATGTCCTCGGCAGTGCAACTTTTAGAACGAGTTGTTCACTCTTTCCGTCGTGACCACCCACAGTGGGCGACAAGAACGGGAATGTTCTGCTCTTGGCGAGGTAAGTGTCTTCAGCCTTTGTGTCCTGCCTTTTCTTCATAGTCTCATTCAGTCGCTTGATCCATCTGTCCTCGATGTTGAAATAGTCCTTGTACCACACTGCTAGGTGGCTTCGGGACCCCAGCGGCGGTGCAAGCTGCAAGCAAGACTGACAACCATGGGTGCTACACTGAACTAATTACCGGCCAAGCAGCACACAGCTCCTGTATCTCGGGATCAATGGCCTCATCGTCATCGGGAAGCTCGACCCCAGATTTTGACTCGGAAGAGCCGCTCATCGCATTTTTCATCATGGTCTGCGTCAGCTGCCCATGCCGCATGTTTTGCTGCATCTGCTGCATTTGCTGCATCTGCTGCTGCATCATCATAAACATCATGGGGTTCATCATGGGGTTCATGCCACCTTGCATCATACCCGGCTGCATCCCTTGCGGCATCCCCTGCTGCATCCCCTGCTGCATACCGGGCGGTGGCATCATCATGCCACCCATGCCCTGCATGCCACCGGGGGCAGTGCCGTTCATGCCAGGCGCACCGGGAGTCATGGGGCGCGCACCCGGCGCGCCAGGCGCACCCATCATCATGCCTGGCATCGACGGCATGCCCATCATCGGCCCAGGTGCCCCGGGCGCAGGTGCGCCAGGCCCGGGTGCGCCCCCGGGCGACGCCGGCACCATGGCATTCATCGGCTGCATGTTGCAGCACGGGCCCTTGCCCTAGACATCCCACCACGCAAGGCAGGACTAAGCCGAAACTGGCAAAGAGCAAGGGCATGCAAGCTAAACTACAATAAGTTCAACATCCCAGTCAAAATTGAAAGGAGAGCTCTGGCAACCGGCTCCATGATTCTCTGGCAACATTCCGCCAGAAAGGATGTCATAACAGCATGGCAACTTTTTGCCTCAGGCATGCTCGCAGGCTACCCTCCCGTTAGAAGGCTGATACAAGATGCGAAAGCTGGCGCCAGGCTTGCCCTCCACCTGAGCAGAATGTTCAAGGCTCCGGGTTGTACAACGGTGTTGGGGCCTTCGGGCTTAGTGGCGCTGACAAGGTTTGTCCTACTGGAGCTAAAGATGAGGAAGTGGAGTCCACAAGTAAACGCCCTCCAGCATACTTCCTGGAGAAGCAGCAGTAACTCCTTCCGGTCGTCCGGGCGGCGCACTGCGAAGCAAGCACGAAATGCAGAAGAAGCACTTCCCAACACCACCACACTGATGGAGATAGGAAGGCTGAGAGCCGCACCAGCTGTCCTAACCCCCCTCAGGCACGATGAGCTCTCTCTTACAAGCCTGCAAGCACCTAATCAACCTAATCCCTATGAAGCCTACAAGCTCTCTAGGCTCTGAAAACTCTTATAACCCCATGGAGCCCGACTATTCCTGCACACCCCACCAAGCCAGATTTGCTTCAAGTGGCCGCCCAGTTCCTGCCGTGACCTGGTCTTTTTAATTGTTTCGGCCGGTGTTCAGGGTGTTTGGGGGCTCCATGGCATTTGTAGGTTTCAGGTCTTGGGGGGGGGGGGGGGGGGGGGGGGGGGGGGGGTGGGGGGTTGTAGGGTCTTTGGCTTTCGACTCTGGGCGAGGATCCAAGGTCAGACAACTACGGGTGCTTCACCGACCAACCCAAAACCAGTTCCACGCACCACCCACCCCCCCCCCCCCCCCAAAAAAAGGTGCAAAACCACGGGACGCAGCGCTTCCGAACAACTTAATGTACATTTACACAAATAGAGAGATATGTACACATAACATGTTTGTTGCTTTCTGTTTGTATATATCTATCTCTCTCTCTATATATATATATATACGTATATATACGTATATATCTCTTCTCATATGAGAGATGTGCATTGGTTGGTACAATACATACCTTGTCACCACACCCCCATCCAAAGTGAGCACCGGAAAACACCCCAAATTACCCCAAGGCCCAACGGAAAGCCGAGTGGCCAGGGTTCTCGGCTGAGCTGCGCTCCGCCTGCGAGAACCTCCCTGGCCTCGCATTAGTTCGGATTCTTAGCAAAGGTTGGGGTATTTAGGAATTTCGGGGGTCTACAGTGGGGTTTAGAAGGCTTGGGAACTTTACCCCAAACCCTGCGCTATGCATCCCTATGGAGGGGGATCTATCTCTCTCCCAGGGATTTGTTTACTCGGAAACTCGAAACTTTCAGACCTTGGAAAAACAAGTTCTATATTTGAGCTTTTCTATACACCATCGTGTATGCTAAGTCAGCTCACTCATGGAAGAACAGGTTTCTGACGAAGGATTTTGTTTATGAAACGCTTCTGGCCCCATATTATGCAAGGACCCGGCTTCAGCACGACCACGGCTTCGGAGCTGCCACCAGCAGGGAAGAGGCGCTGGTCCCAGCCTTCTGTGATTCGCGAGTGCTTCAGTTTCTCGTCATGAGGAGTGGGCCTTGGGGGTTGGTGAGGTTGAGGGGTTCGGATCTGGGAGGCTTTCCTTAGGGTCCCTACCTCGAAGGGCAGGAGGCTCTTGTCGTGAAAAGGGGTTCGAGTTTCCGCACCCTGCCACAAATTGAGCGCAAGCCAACACCCTTCAACCCCTGTGAAAATCGGGACTGGACTGCTCGTCCCCCCGCTGAACACAAACCTCATCCTCGATGTTCTTAAGGCGCCACTGACGCCAAGCGGCTGCCATCTTCCAGGATCTGGAACCTGAGCTTCGGAGCTCGGGCCCAGTTCGACATCGGACCACATTCTAAAGCTGCTTAGCGGGGCAGCTCAGGGTAGAGTTCAGGAAGTCTAAGGGTGCGACGCTTGCTCACCAAGTACAAAAAGCTAAAGCAAAATCTTAGGTAAGGGCAACTAGCTTAGCTGGCGTGCAAGGGCAGCCGGAAAAAGAACAAAAAGAACTCAACTGCCTGCATCGCCGCGGGAATGCCATCTGCTGCGGGGGTGACACCTTATAATCAGGTTTCTATGGGCCAATCCGGTCCAAAGGCTCTTCCTTCTGCATGCCCTTCCTGCTACCCATTGGGGCGCTCGATCGGATGGTCACCACCGCACCTGACACCGAGGCACGCAGCTCAGTCGGACCATGGGGCTCCTCCGAGTTAGGTCTGACGTCAGCCCTCCAAATTTCGCCCCATGTCCGCAACCCGCTCACCCCCGGGCCGCTCCACCAGGACCCAAGGAGGATCCTCTAAAAAATAGAGGCCCCTGCTGCCACCGTCCATCAGCTCAGAGTCGGCCTCAGCCACATGTGGAAGGAATGGGGGGTCAGGGTTTAGGGTTTAGGTAAGTTTAAGTTTTTTCTCCCTCCTGCGCATCGCAGGGATGTCTTCGAGGCACGAAAACTTCTAGGGACTAGGGTTTAGGGTTTAGCGGTTCTGGGGCCTATTTCTGATCCGAGATGTGTATTCTGCTTGGGTAGTTTCGTGGTACGCAAACAAAAATGACATGTACGTATAATGTCTAATTGGAAAATCTTAGCTAAGAAAGGGCGATGCTTTAGAATCTAAAGGGGTGGAGGGACGATCTTGGGACGTTCTTTGGGGCGCCTGAGCTTCGGGTTCAGGGAGTTAAGAGAGTTGGATCGGGCTGCTGTACAATCCCACAAAGTCAACTTTGTTTTCGTAAAATATAGCATATAGTAATCATAATATGTATACAATGAGATATATATATATATATATACATGCATATGTGTATATGCGTCTACAAGTATACATAATCCATGAGTATGCCCTCCAATCCGAAACCAGGAGTCCGCAGCAAATCGGCATAGGGAACTAAAGGCCGATTTGTCCACTTTGCCAGGAAACTCGAGCTCGTTTTGTGAAGGATTTTGGCAACCCAGAACAGTTGAAGCGCGATTGCCTACTCGACGTTGAAGGTCCACATGATCTCCCTCACGCCCAAAATCTGCATCCAAATTTAAATTCCTCTCTCAGGGAGTTAGGCCAGCCACAGGGACACAGCAGTGATGTCAACGACAAGCTGCGCTCCAGTCGTTGAAGGAGCCGGCGATGTAGAAAGGAGGCGGGGAAATCGAAGTGGACTTCGGCGCCTGGAGCTGTGGGGCATCGGGACACAGAACTTTAATAACCGCGCACGCTTGCAGCAGAGCTTACCTTTCTTTGACACAAAAACGCGCCATGCTTGATACCTGATGATATCCTGATGATGAGCCCTCTAAATACATCGAGGCCGATGTGACGGGAAGTTTGGCCCCAAAACCCGAAAACCCTGAACCCTTAGACCCTGAAACCGACAGCAAGTACGTTGCGGTATGCATTTGGACTGTATAAGTGCAGCGGCTCAGGATGCTTGCTGGCCACCTCTGCCTCGTTCGATGGCGGCTTGGCCGGTTCGGACTCCTTGGGAGCATCATCCTCTGGCCTTCAGACTTCAGACACATGGGGCTCACGGTTTAGGGTTGTAGGGGGTTTTAGGGTTTCAGGGTTTAGGGCTTCAGGGTTTCAGGGTTTAGGGTTTCAGGCTTTTTTGCCAACCGTCTAGCCAAGCTCCACGGGGCAACTGCAGAGAAGGCTCTGCGCATTATATACACTTCTGTCAGAGCCCAACTTTACGATGTTTTCAGGAATTGGGCACGTGGGCTTCAGGGTTTTAAGGCTTTAGGGTTTCAGGCGTTTAGGGTTTTCGGGCTCTCAGGCTTTAGGTTTAGGGTTTTGGCTGTTGCTCTTCGTGATGACGAGTGAAGCTGCCAGGGAGGTATAGCGAAGCCGCGCAACAAACGTGGGCTTCTAAGCAAAACCTCTAGCGTTGAGAAGCAGAGTTGCCTAATTTTTAAGGGCTGGGCTTAGCAATCTTCCAAAGAGCATGCAGCATATCCATATTTCAGAAATATAGACTGAGCAACAATTCAGAGGTGTGCCGGTATGGCCGTTCTACGCAGCCTGGCGATCTTTTAACGCACGTTCGCTTCCTTCAGCCGCTCCAGGAGGGTTTAGGGCCTAGGGTTTAGGAGTTTAGGGTTCATTAGATCATTAGGAGCATGAGGCTACTGGGACTGTTGCTGAATCAGCTCTCGCACGTTCAAGTTGTCCAGGGGGCACGTGGCTTTCACATGCAGCCACTTGTCAATGCAGGCCATGTGGAAGTAGTGCAGGCAGGGCAGTCGCCGTACAAGGTCTCCGCACGCCATGTCTTCGTAGCAAACGGCACAGGGCTCCTCACAAGGGACCTGGAGCGTCTGACAGGGAACCAACGTGAGCAAGTCCTGCATCTCTTCCTCCGCCCTGACCGACTGCCTCTGCAAAAAAGAGTCGGGACCCGCAGGCACGTCAGCCTCAGCTTCAAGACTCTCAGCTCGGGTCAGCTGGGCATCGATGGCGGCCCAGCGTGCCTCCAGGCCTGCCGTGAGCGTCGAGCGCGCTGCCCGAGCAGCAAGCCCAGGCCGCGACGCCGGTTCCGAGCGCGCCACGGGAAGGGGCACCTGCACCAGGGACCAGGGCTCCACAGCTTCGGCGCGCTCAGAAGTCGAAGCCGCGGGATGGGTGTCGGGTTCGAGGGACCCACGGAGCTGTTGTAGTCGCCAGGGACGCGTGTTGAAGGCAGGGCTGTTTTGCCTGCCCGGCCAAGGCGCCTGGCTCTGCCGAGCGTTCGAGGCACCCAGCTCCTCCAAGACTCTAGCCCGCACGGCGTCCGGAAGGCTTGCTGCGAATGCCAGCGTCTCGGCCAAGGTCACTGCAAAGTTCGATCGCCGAATGCAGCGTGGCGCATGCATCCAAACAGATGCACTGGCATCGGTCTCCTCCGCTGTGGCTGGCAAAAGTCCGAGGCGTAGCTGCCCTGGAAGGAAGAACTCCCGGCAAGCACTGCAGCACCTTGCGATGTCACCATATTCGTAGACATGCACGTAAAAGCTGGGCACATCGCTTCTGGTCAGGCTGTCTGCCGGGTCCAACTCGACCACGGTGCCTTGGCTGGTGCCAGGGCTGGAACGGAGCCTGCTTCTGGAACGTCGCCGTGCCCTGGGGGGCCGTGGGTCTGCGGAGGCCAGGATCACCTCCTCAGTGTTGTGGTGTGGTATGGTTTCCGTGGGTTAATTCCACACTTCCTAGCAACTTTGAAAAACACCCACGCCTCATCCTCACTGGAGACCACTGCCTCGAAGGGCTCCTCCACCGAGACTGCCTCTGCCCCCAAAGTGGGCGAAACCTGGCCGTTGGGGAGCCACACACCAGAGCTACAGAACTGCACTCTCGTCGCGCTCAACACAAACACATAGAAAAGGCACATACCGGGCACATTATGAGGAACTTTTAAGGAACAACTGCTGGAACAGCAACAAGAAACAAGAAAGCACAACGACAACAACCACAAACACGAAAATTGCGCGCGTGCGCACACACACACACACATGTGCACGCAAAAACCAACGCGACCGGCCCATGAATCGAGAACACTCAACGGCAGTACTGTGGATCGCCAGCACCGGCATGGACTCGCACTGTAACGCAACCACAATCGCAAGGAACACACGCAAACGTCTACTTCTTATAGACAATCAAGAAGCGTCAACCAATCGACCCCGACCCCCGAGCCCACAGCCCTGAACACATCCCATACTAAACAACGTATACTTGTCGCTGAAGCAAAGTAACGGCCCGAAACCCGAACGCGCAAGAGCCGCCCTGCCTGGCCCAGGCGAGCCGCCGCAGCATGCCGCGCCACCCGACGCTGGGCCCGGCCCGTCATGTGGACGTTGATCCTTGGGTTTGGCTAGAGTGTTGGTGATGGTGTTGGTATTTCGCTTTTGGCAACGCGCCGTGGGCCATCCGAACTTTCCGGGCATGTCTCTTGAAAAGTGTTGCTTGGTTTCTAGGGTTCTTCTGTCGGGGTTTCTCGTTCCAGCTTGCTGAGAAATTGCCCAACTGGTCTGCTCCATACTTCTCTTCGCACCTACGACGCAAGTGAGTAGCAACTTGCGAGTCGGACTCGCCCAAGCGTCGATGAATGCAGCAAAGGATGAACGAATGAACGAACGATTGAACGAATGGTTGTGCTCGGGGTCGGGTTGGGGTGAAGGTGGGTGGGTGGTGGGAGAGGGCGAGGTGCGGTTCGCTGGGCTGGGGGTTTGTACGACAATGTCAGATGCTCATTGGCGTGCCCCCTCCTTAACAAAAGGGTCCCAGCCTTCGGTGTTGGGGGCAACTGTTTTCCTCACAATTCCGCGGGAAGCGATCATCAGGATACGAGGACTTCACGGCCCAGGGCTACAGCACAACACGATGTGCCGTTAATGATTACAGACTCCGTCAAACTATAGAAACGCAATTCGGAACAACAACGCTATAAGGTATTCATAAGGGTTTGGCTCAGAGTTGACGTGCCTCAGGCAGGCCAAGTGGCACTTCCAGCTCATGGCCTGTTCGCCCAGGCTCTCGGCTGTGGGGTGCAGGCTGTGGCCCATACTCCACATCTACCATCCTAAAACCGCTGGAGAAGGAAGCCTCTCAGCTCCATGTCGGAACACAGCCATGGCAGCGAGGAACATCCTACCATGCAACCCAGACTCGTTTCTTTCCTGGCTAACTGAGAGGGCTTTCTCGGCGCATCCTGCTAAGTGAGGCCCCTTTCTAAGAAATAGCTCAGAGACACTTCAGGATCTGCACTATATAGGCTTCATGTGGAACTTCGAAGATCCGGGACGCAGACGAAGCACGGGTGTTGACTGCGGATGTCTACTCCCTGCCACAGAAGTCTGTTCAGCCCAAATACCATGGCTCGGAGCCCAGCCACTTCCTCCCAAACGCACTCCACCCCGGCCCTGCATGCCCTGAAGAAGTCATGGGCTGAGTAGGGCCGGGGGTGGCCGGGGGTGGCACGGGTGTTTTGGGGGGCTTTAGGGAGTTTGAAACTTCTGGATCCTATGCTTAAACCCCTCCCTCAACCCTAAACCCTCTGCAAGTAATTGAGATCCCCAAGTCGCGAACTTGAACTTCAACTCAACGACGCTGTGTAGGTAGGTACCTTTAAACTTTAGGCACGGTCCATGTAAGTCCCCCCCCATGTACAATGCAGTTTGTAAAGCAGGGTTTGCAACTTCGATAAGCGCTTGGAGATGTCTGGTAGGTTGCCGTGCTCTAGAAGATGTGGTTCTTCGCATGCTTTTGTTTCAATGGGTTCCGGTGCAAAGGGTTCCTGTACATCGGAGGTGGTACTGTTAACTTCTGTGACGGCAGGGTTGCCTTTTTCCGCTCAGCGGCGACGTTCCTCGCGGCTGCGGAGCCTCACTGGCTGCCGCATCGGCGAGCGGGACCGCGACCTCGGCGACCTCGTGTTGGACTCCTTGGACGGGGCCTGCAACCGGACGAGCCGCGAGTTGGTGCGCACGGCACCCGGTGCCCTCTCTGGCCCAGTTTCCTCCCTCTCTGCCAGCTTTCGCAAGGCCTGCGACGCTCGGAGGAGCGCTTGGGAAATCGCTTCCCGCTTTGACTTCGGCGAGGCCTGATCCTCTTCTTTCACGCGTCGGGGAAGCACAGCCGATGACCTAATCGGCAAGCTCGTCGGCCGGGCAGGTGCAGCGCCGACCGGAGTTCGCGGCTTCACGCTCGCCTTCGAAGGTGGGAAGTGGGAACATTGAATGATTGGTGACACACAAGTTCGAGCCCCGCAGTACTTGCACAGCTTGCACATTCTTCCTGGGAAGTTTGTGCCCCCGTGCTCAATAGAATGGCCAAACCAACCTATGCCTGAACACATTTGTCATGCTATCCCGGGAAGACCTGTGATGCACTCCCGCACTGCCCCTCAAGCACCAGTGGGGTGTTTCTTCGATGGCCTTGGGCAGCAGAACGATGCGATGGCCTTGTGGTCGTTCGTTGCTACCTTGGTGACCACAGCGGTTGCACTTGCAGCCCGTGCAGGAAGGATGGGCGCTCACAAATTGGGGGGGAGGGTAAATGGTACAAAGCGATGCCCCCCTCCCCCACTCCCCGTCTCTGGTAGGCGTGCCACGAGCTGGCGCAGCTCGGTTCGAGGGTTCGGAGAGACCTACACACATCAGCCCGACAAGAACGTTTGGGTATGTTCCATTCATGGTGCCTGCACCTTAGAAGTGATTGTGAAAGAGGGTGTAGACGATCCCAATTTCAAGGCTCAAAGAATACTCCGCGCACATTCCCACCGAAAAGGGATAGAGTGCCTCGGGACGTTGAGGGCTCTCTAATCGCGTTTAGCTGAAGTATGGTGAAGTGACCTACAGATCCCATACCCTGAGCCCTAAACCAGGTCGACCGAAGGCTCAGGCCGATTAAGCACGAGTAGGTTCAACTGAGATTTCTCTTCCGGCCTGGCTGGCGGCGCTCCCCCGCGCGCCGGACGCTCTCGGAAAGCAAGGGATGCCTTCCTGGACAGGGTCTCCATGCACAACTCAAGTACCCACTCCTGAGTACCAGCTCAGTGGTCCCAACCTCTGCTGGGCGGCTCGACACCCCAAACCCTTCAGCCTTCCCGAGAATGTGGTGGCGAGACCTTATCGGTGAATCAAAGTTTCTCCGGAGAGCTCTAAAGGCTAAAGCCGCGTGGCTGTCCTAAACCTCTTGCCAAGGTTTGAAGCCCGAAAGCCTGTAAACCAAATTTGCTATTAATCACAGCCAATGTTCCATCCTTCTAAACCCAGAGCCCTCGGCCCAATCGTAAACTCCGAAACCCTTTCTGAAATTATAAGCTAGCGGAGATCCCCTTTCGCATCCTGCAGACTAATACAAAAACACGCGACCTTCAACCCCGGTTGTGAAACAACTCCTGGCCGTGCCTCCAGAGCAAGCCGTGCCACGCAGGCTCTGCGCCACCTCGAGGGATTAGAGTAGTCGAGTTCCTGAGATCCCATCCCAACTGGTCTCTGTACAGTAGGTGAATGTCTGTCTCTGAATGCGGGGTGGGCTTGAAAGTTGCAAGGGTCCAATATAAGTCCGGTACTGGCAACTGCCTTGCAAGAAGCTCCTCCTTGAGACCCTTCCCCCTATCTGTAGGCTCAACTACTTGACTCTTGCACATCTCAACCGCTATGCTGCAGCCCCGGAAGGACACAGGACCGAGCCTGGAGCCCACTAGGACCCTACCTTGCCTTTTGCACCCGCTCCACCAACGAACCTGGCGGGATCCAGGGAGTGAAGGTCCAGGGTGCAGTTTTTAAAGGGTTTTAAAGGGTTTGTTGCCACGAGCGAAGCAGACCAGAAGAAAGATTTTGGTGGCTCGCACCGAAAGGCAACCCCTTTTGCACCCACCTGATCCAAATGATCATAAAGCTTGAACAGCACGCTGCAAGTATGTAGGATACCAGATATTTCGTCAGGCCCCAAACTCCTGGCTCAGATTTTTGCCTCCACTCTGCATCCCTCATGCACGAAGCCCTCTTTACCCACAAGGAGCAACCCGAAGCCCCCAAGCCCACCAAGATCCCCCTCGTTTAGAGTTTTGAAGTCGTTTAAGTCCAAGTCTAGCAAAAAACACATTGGGTACCCAATGCATGTTGTCGCGCAAGGGCCTCTGAACACTGAATCCCTGAAGACCCCATCAAGCCACCTTCGCCCAGTGGTGGAGCTGTGGCAATGGTGCGCCGTGCGTGCGCCGGCGCAGGGGGCGTAGGCCGCTCCTTCGGCGGGGGGGGGGGGGACAACCCCAAATCCTGAAGCCTAAACCCCACAGACCATGACCCAGGGAGAGGGGGCGGGAGGGAGAACTGGCCCCAAAGCCCAAACTCACCATGAATCACAGGGGAGGGGGGGCGGGAGTCCGTGACATATAGGGCCAGACATATAGGGCCAGGGTTTGCACAAGGGATGGAGGAAGGCTGGACGGGCTGAGGTTCAAAAAGCCACTGAGCTGGTACAAGCGACTTGTTAACTTTTTGGACAGGTTTCCCTCTCGACCCTCCCGTTCGTGGTGGTGTGGTGATTTTCGGGTTAACGGTCGGGGGGAGGTCTAGAACGCGGAGCGGCGCCGGTGCATATAGATACGTTCGCAATGCCACCAAACGGTACAGGAGTTGGTACTGAAGTGGCTGGGCCAGCTGATCGACAGATCCGACCATTGGACGAAGAGCAATAACACCCCTTTCTCGAGGATCGAAAGTTTGGTGCCAGCAGCCGCAGTGCGTCCAGCTGCAGCTCAGGCGTTCTGCAGATTTCTTAAGGTTTGTACTTGGGCATCAAGCTGACTGAAAAGACTGAGAGTTGCACCACTTGGCCACGCCACCAGGCCCAAAACTTCAGATGCCCTGGCCTAAGCCCAAACCCAAAGCTTCTGGCCTCAAGCCCCCCCTGAACCTTTAGCCGAACCCTTAGCCCCACAACCGTGAGGCCACAATCCCACAACCCTACGAGGTCCTCGAAGCTGGGTGTCCGTGTGCGGCGATACTTGCCTCGGGTCTAGTGCTTGTAGACTTAAACCGTTTAGGTGCTTGGGCTTTTCGTGCAGGGTTTCGGGTTTGGGGTTTTAGTGCCATTGGGATTTCAGTGTTTCGACACTACTGACACTTTGGGCCGTACATGTTTATGATCACTCACGAGGACTCCTCGAAGCTTAGGTTTCAAAGGTTTCGCTCACACGCCCGCGAGGGAACTGTGGGAAGGTTACACGGGTCACGCAGGTCCACTCTCGCTACAAGCCAAGAGATTTCGCATTTGGGGTTCTCGGGGTTTGGGCTTGATTCTTCGGCTTCGGGCTAAGAGGTTCACCGCCCACTTGCAGCGCCCAGGGTTCTGAGTTGAGGGTCATGTGAAGACACGTCACAAAGAAAGGGCACGCACCGGACGAATCACCGTCGCTAGCACCCACAGCCAAGTCCTTGACACCTTTCTTCCTAGTCGCACGGGAATTCAAAATCCTACAAAGCCCTTAGGACTCAGGGTTGCAGCGCAGCCGCTGGCCGACGAGGTCTGCGACCCTTCGGAACGCCGGTCATGGTCCTCTGCACCCCGCCCACCTACGGCCATATGACAGAGTTGCGGCCGAAATCTGCATTACTCCCAGCAGGGTTAAAATCACAGGTTTCGCCGTCCGGCCTGACCTTGGCCACTACCAAACCCACTGAACCGTGTGCTGGTGGGAACCACCCGGAATAGACTTCTAACCTCCTCCCCACTCCCCACCGCAGCCCACCTCCTGGGAGTCCAGAGTATGCCAAGCCCGGCAGGCATCGACATCCCAGTCCTCCATGGCCTCCGACTCCTTTAGATCGGGGGTCACGGGGGGTTTGCCTCGTGATTTGACTCTTGGGCCTCTGGGTTTGGGATGCAGGGGCCAATAGAACGCCTATCAACACCTTATAACCCTAAACCCTCACCCTCCGGCAGCAGCCTCAACACAAAGCCGATGAGTGGCCAGGTTCAGAGCTTCGGGCCGTGGTTCCTGTATTGTTGTGGGGGATGGCTGGGGCATGTTCTAATAAGGAGCCCAAGTTTGGAAGGTATATCAACAACCCTACCTTCCATGTAATGTTAGTCTGCTGTAGCCGTGGGCTTGCAGCTTTGTTTCAGGGTTCGGGACCTTTGCGGCGTCACCACCATGGGAAGCGTGCCGGTGCCTTTGCAAGGGCGCCTCTTCAGGATTCCGGCAAAGCCTGAAGCCATCAGCCTCAATGCCTCAACCCCGGCCCACACCTCAACTGAGGACACGCTCTTGGGCTTGGGGGAAGCATTCGGGGCTCGGGGCTTTGGGCAGACCCCGGCGTCCTCCATTGCTTACAGCGCGGAGGGAGGCTTGGCGTCGTCACCACTTGCATAGGTCTCCGGGTATAGCGTCTCAAGCAAGGCAGGGGAGGGGGGTTTATTTAGGGTGTGTGGGCTGTACAGGGGCTTAGTTTAGGGCTTCTGAGCCTACGGCCCCGAGTTCGAGATGTCCTTCGGAAGGGTAGTGTCGTTGCATGTGGGGTTCGCGTTCAGCGAAGAAGTCTTTAAGGCTCCGGACCGTAAGCAAAGAAGTATTTAGGGCTCCGGGACCGTAAGCCTTAAGCACTTGGAAACGTCCCTGTCTTGAGCTCAAAGCAGCTGCGAAAGCCAACACGGCGTGTGGCATCGATGATTCAGGGCCCAGGGAGGTTTACAGTGGAGAACTGACGCACCTAAATCAAACCCTTCAGCAGGTGAGGACACATTCCTCACCCTAAGTATTTTCAACCCCTCGGAGACCGGAAAACACCCTCCGCCCCCTAAACCCGATATATTTCCTGCAGCACTCCTCGGCACACCGAAAAATAACCTCCAGAACAACGCCACCAGTGACCTAAGCGAAGCGGCAAGCATGTGAGAATAAGACAACCCTGTAATCCCTAAACCCTCTAAACCCTAAAGGAACCTCAACCCTAGCCCGAACTGAACTCTATAAACTCTATGAAGCACGGATCCTATAAACTCTAAACCCGAAGCGTCACCACTATAAGCCCGGAACCCTAAGAGCCTTTTGCATCCGGGCTATTGTCCAACCCTAAGAGCCTAAACCCTGAATGAACACACAAAGCTATAAACCCTGAAACCTATTATGGGACCTTGAACCCTTGAACCCGCCTCTCCGCGACGTCACCCCCCGAAGCAGCGGCCTGCGTGGATAAAGTTGCGAGGCTAGGCGCAGGGGACGAAATACCTAGGTCAGGCGCTGCAGGCCCCATCAGGCCCCTTTTGGGATTCCATCCAACGCAGCGCGCCACGAAAGAGGGCCCCCAGCGGCCCATAGCCACCCCCCGTCACAATGCCTGCAAGTTCCAGGTTAGGATGCAACGCTTCAGAACACTGCTTAGGGCCTGGGATGTAGGTTGTGGGTTTGCGCTTTGTGGCACGTAGGGTCTTTGGTTTAGGTTCAGGATGCAGGCGTGTAGGTCTGCGGAGGGTGAGGGAGGGGGAATGCAGAGACCCTATCCCCTAAGCCCTGAGCCCCGTCGCCCCTCGCGAAGCCTGCAAAATGAAGCCTCTAGGACTTCCGGTTGCGGGTTAGTACGAGTATCGGGGATTATGGTATTGGGGCTGCTGCGGCCTGTTAGATTGGGTCTCATGCAGGGTTTCAGGGTTTACGGGCTTTTGGGTTCGGCTACGAAGCTCAGTGGAGCCTCGGAAGATCACGGTCGCTGACTGAAGCCCGTCCCACCAAGCCCTACAGTACCCTCAGCCCGCGCACTGACTCCATTTTCCGCACACCAACTGTCCAGTTTCATGGCATCCTGGGCTGGGTACTGCGAAGCCAAACAACACACCAAACTTTCGGAAACCCTACATGCTTCAGGCGACCTAAACCCTACACCCTGAACCCTCCCGAAAAAGCTGTACGTGAATTCGACCCAGCATCTAGCTCACGTACTCGCTCTCCTCCTTGGTGCACCAAACACTTGGAGGGCTTCGGGTGATTTGGATGGTTGAAGGGTTTGCCACTGGCGGGATGAGTTGGGATGTTTCGGGTTTAGGGTTGAGAGTTCAGGGGTTAGGGGCTACGATTAGGCAGTTCAAGCCGAATACATGTACATACATGTACAGCACACATTCGAGCCTATGAGGGGATTGTTTTCTAAAGTACTGGAAATACTGGTACTATGCGCACGTTTCAGCTGTGTGCGGGTTTGCATCGTGCCGATCGTATTCTGCTGGAGGCATGGAACTCGAGCGATGCACGGTTATGGGATACTCAAAGTAGGCAGTATTCAGCGCCCAAACCCTAAACCCTAAACCCTGTTCAGATCAAGCATCGCCGATGGCCAGGCATCGGCCCTTGGCCGCAGTGACGTCCAAGATCTTCTGATGTTGGAAGACCTGCGCCCTAAACCCTAAACCCTTTTTGTTCCATCTGGGCCCGGTGGGGAATGCCAGAAACCCTAGACCCTAAGCCCTGGCCATCTACTCTCACAATTGGGGGTTCCGCGGGCGTAAGGCACCCGACTCCTTTTCAACTCGACAGCAGATGTAGATTGCCCGCTTCGGAGCGAGATGGTTGATGCTGGCGCACGCAATCTTCTGGCTTGGAGCTCTTCTCCCTTCAAGGCCCCTGAGCCCACAAGTCTAGGTCTTTTCCGCACTTCCAACTGTCGCTGATGAACCTACGCCCACCCCAAACCCCTAAAAAGTGAGGCCTCGAGCCCTAGTGATTGGTGCCTCGGGGGAGATCAGCGTGGGCTCCACCACGTTCTTGGGGCCCTCCACGCCGAGGACCATGCAACCGCTGCTCCTCGACTTTGAGAAGGGTGAAAAAGCTGCGAGGGGTTTTGGAGATCAGCGTCACGGGCTTCTTTTCGGAGTTGTGGTTTCGGGCTTAGCTTTGAGGATTTGCAACTGACACCGTACTGTCGATTGGACACAAACGGACAAAATGACTACATTCGAGTGGGGAATTCGCAGCCGTAGACATGAAGCCTCTCACATCCTCCACAGGAGGGGGGGGGGGAAGTTCAGATGATAAACTGAAGTCTCGTGCTAGTCCGAGAGTGAGCGGAGATGCACACGGGGTGGGGGGGGGGGGAGTTTCGGTAGCTGGGTGGTTGATGAAAGAAAACAGGCAACTTTAGTCGACGAAGCTGTCTCGCTGCAAGGACATGGAGCTTACGGCGGTGCATGTCAAAACCTTCCGCAAACCAGAAACTGACGTAGCTCATCTTGAGGACGGCACTTCCACAGCAGGAAGAGCCCGGATGTCTGACACACTTCCTTTGAAGCCCTTATCCTGTCCAGGGCCTTTAAAAGCATATAGGGTTGATGGGAACATCACACCAAACCTTCTATGGTTCTGATTCAAGGGTTTGAGGCTAAACCCACTAGCATGCTTTGTGAACACGAGGCGAGGCTCTTGGAACCCCAAGTGTAGAGCTTGCCGCTGGCGGTGAGTGCGAAGCTGAACCTTGCTTAGGGGCCCTTGGAGTTAGGGTCTTCTAGCACAGAATGCCAGCAAGCAAGGGACCTCTCAAGTAGATGCTAGGTCTCGAGAGCGCCACAACTGACAGAAAACATGGCCTTCACCCCTTCGGGAAGTGAGCCTTCCTTTGCAAATTGGAGTGTAGGCCGCAGTCGGAGCTCGGAAACTCAGGGCTCAATGCTCTACTTGGCTGGCGATAGTCAACATGAAAAACTTCGCCAAAACACTTGTCCCCGGCTGCGACTTTGACGATGTCCCGGAAATCCTGCGGGCCCGACAAAGTCCACATTGAATTGAAACTTCCGTTGCCTTGAAGCCGAATCGGCTTTGGGTTTACACAGGGTTTACCACCACCGGCCCGTTCTCCTTGGCGGGAGAAGGTTTAGGGACCTGCATGAGAGCCAAGGATGCCAACCCTGAACCCTAGGAACCCTAAGACCCTAACCCCTAAAGTCCTAAAGCCCACAGCAACGTGATTACAGAGATCTTAAAGCACTGTATAAACATCGAAGAAATTCAGGGGCTGTAGGGATTCAGGGGCTCAAGGGGTTTAGGGTTTTCGGGGCCTGTTGGTCCTCGTCCTCCACCTGAGGGGGCGATACTCTGTGTGGCTCCAACCAGGTCCGGTCACCCCACCTGAACTTCACAGACTCTTGCCAGGTTGCTCCAGGATGTACTTCAGCGGCAGTTCAGAATACAAATAAGATTCATAATAATTAGATACTACAAATATTTAGTACTATTTTCAGCATTGTCATTCTGAACACTCTGAGCCAATAACATTCACAACGTTAGAAATATCCGCACGTTAGCAAGGCGACTCATGTGGCCCCTATGCCAGGACTGTGGGGCTCCATTCGGGGTTTGGCTCGAGCCACTCGAAGAGCACCCCCTCGGAGGTGAGGACCACGACATGGTGTTCACCGCAGGCGAAGTCAACGATGCGATGCCCCTCGCTGGGAAGGCTTCGGACTAACCTGGGGAAGCGCTCCTTAGCGGCGGAGTTCACTTCTGGGGCTTGTGCTATCTGAGGGGCGTAGAGAAGGGACCGGAGCCAGGTTGGGGGGAGTCGGCACGCTTGTTGGTCTTCGTGATGATTATATAGACCATGTAGCCGGGGGGTCAGATGAGAGTGAAGAACTACCCGGGTTCCATCAGGTCTTCTGAAAGGCCTCTCAGCTTCGCAATAACTCAGAGAGCGGGTTTAGGGTGCGTAGAGGCGGGTGCTTTCGATCAAAGCTCGTTGTGGCCCAGAAGAGAAAGTTCAGTCGAACCGCTGACCTCTAAGCTTTGAACGACAAAGCCATGAACCGAAAAGCACCAGTCGGTCTTAAAGAAGGCCCATGGCTCAGCGGAGTACATGTCACCCATGGCCTCCTCACCTGAAGGCAATGGAGCTGTTTGGGGGGAGGGGGGGGGGGGGGGGGGGGGCACGGGGGGGGCAAAGACCACCCGAATGGCGGTGTTGCTTCAACATATATATGTATATTTATATACATATATACCCGTGAACCCCTAAACTCCGACAATCCCAACCCGTGCCCCAGGAGCACATTGGCTATATACGCTCGAGTTGAAGAGAGTTGAAGGGTTTGTGTGTTGCTTCTGGGGCTTCGAGTGTTGTTTTAGGGCTTCTGGGGGTTTATGGTTTCTGGTCTTTCTCTATGGTTTCTGGTCTTTCTCGGGTTGCGAGGGCTTAGAAGGTATATTGAGACAAGGTTTTAGGGCTGCAAAATGTCAACACTAAGCCAGTTGGTAGTTAGTTTAGCTGCCACGGAATTAAGAAGGGCTCATGTTTTAGGAGGGCTCTAGTGGTTGGATGGGTGGAACCCCAGTCGCTAAGATGGGTTTATCAGTGTCTGCGGGCTTGTAAAGATACAAGGGTGCCACTGAATTTCTCCGCCATTTCCTTAAGAACAACTCCAAACAAAATAGCTCCTAATGATGGCTCGTGTCAGGGGTAGAACAGGGCACTCAGGGCTGTATACAGGGTATGTGGAGGTCACTACAGTACCCACATCCGCAATAAAGCCTAGATGTTGAGTCTGGTGGCCAAGGCCCAGCTGGCCGTAGTCGTTTCGGCCCCAGACCCAGAGCTCGCCCTGCTGGGACATGGCAGCGGAGAAGTTCTCACCGGCACCTGGGCAGGGCTTTGGGCTTCGAGCTTTGAGGGACCTATAGGGAGGGCCTATAGCAGTTTCGTACACTCCTCGACGTTGCGCGCGTCATCCTTGCGCAAGGGCCACCGCTGAGCTCATCTTCTCAGGGGTCAGGCGGGCGAGGGTTTAGGGCATCGAGGCTTACGGCCTCAATGCAGGGATGGTCTGGATTTCAAGCAGCCTCCACACTTTGTAGTTGCATGAACTACAGCGCACAGGATATGATGGGAGTCAGAATGAATGGAGCATCCCTGCAGAAAGTCTGAACCTCTGTCACCTGTGTCCAACTTGTCCAAGAAACTGACATGGCAGACTCCCAGACCCTTCTACTGAGTTCTTCACTTGGCCACTGCAACACGTGTGCCTCTTACAACAAAAGCCCATCCTGAAGTGTTTTGACTTCACGGAGCTAGCTGTATTTTGGCTTTCATCAGCTGGCACCTATCTTGACGATCTTCGCTTCCTCGCCGGGTGCTAGAATCGAGTCGTCCGTATGCTCGAAATAATCGATCCTCAGCTGCGTTTGTTCGCCGTCCAATCGTGCAACACA